CTTAAATTGCATTTTTCCCTTCTGTTTTCCTTCCCCTCCCCTAGGTTAGTGTCCCTTAAGAAAGTTATTTCTAAGAAATAGCCCAAGTTAGAAATAGTATCAGCTTTTGTTGAGATTGTCTACTTAATTTATGGAGGTCTGCATTGGGAGTAGGAGAAATAAGAGAATGGGTCAGGAAAAATAGATTAGGGGAAGTAGTATCAGGGGGTAGAGAGCATTTTCTCTGGAAGGGTGCTGGTTCAACTTGAGTGAACGGCAGAGGGATCCTGGTTGGATGAATACGGGGTGTGCTGCATCGAGCCCATCATGGAGCCACTGGTGAGAGGGGCAGAGAGAGCACTCAGCTTGTAGGACCTTAGCTGTAGAATTTAAAAGCCATGGCAAGACCAAGAGAGTGACGCATTCTGCCACAGAGCGGCTGTAAGGTGAAAATAGAACTCTTATAAACAAGGGTGAAATAACTAGTTTGGGCCAGTGGATGGACAGGAAGCCTAGCCTGAGATTTCCAAAGAATGAAAGAGAAACGGGTTTCAGACAAGTAATTCCACACACAAGAGGACTTCCCTGGTGGCTCAGATGGTAAAGCGTCTGCTTACAATGAGGGAGACCTGGGTTTGAACCCTGGGTCGGGAAGATCCGCTGGAGAAGGAAATGGCAACCCACTTCAGTACTGTTGCTTGGAAAACCCCTTGGATGGAAGAGCCTAGCAGGCTATAGTCCACAGGGTCACAAAGAGGTGGACACAACGGAGTGACTGCACTTTCATTTTTCCAAACACGAGATGGTGAGCACCGGCTGTGTCTTTGAATGTCCGTGCTGCATCACTTTACACCTCATGGCAGATGATTGCTTATTATGTCTCATCTGCATTTGTCTGTAGCGAGGTGTTTGATGGGCTTCCCAGGTGGCACCGATGGTAAAGAACCCACCTGCCAATGTGGGAGATGTAACAGATGAGGGTCTGATCCCTGGATCAGGAAGCTCCCCTGGAGGAGGTCATGGCAGTCCATTCCTATATTCTTGCCTGGAGAGTCCCATGGACCAGAGGCACCTGGGAGTCTACAGTCCATAGGGTTGCAAAGAGTTGGACACGACTAAAGCAACTTAGCATGCACACACAAGATATTTGATACACATTTACTCTGGGGAGGCAGCTTGTTATGGCAATAGGAGGGAATTTGCAATCTGATGGCCCTGTGTTCTGGATTTTAGTTGTTAGATGTCTTGAACAAGCCGCTTATCTGACTCTGGTCCCCCTGCACTGCCACCACAGTTCCAATGAGATTGTAATTGACATATAATATTGTATGAGCTTAAGACATAAAGCATAAATATTTGATACATGTATATATTGTGAAATGTTTGCCACATTAATATTCCTCTTTTTATATAATTACAGATTTTTCTTGTAATGAGAACTTCTCAATTCTCTTTTCTTACTGCTGTTCAGATATACAATACAGTATTGGTAACTATAGTCATCATGCTATACATTACACCCCCAGAATTTATTTTATAACTAGAAGTTTGTACCTTTAAGCCACCTTCACTCTTTTTCCCCACCTCTCACAAATCCCACCCTCTGGCAACCAACAATCTTTTCTTTATTTCTATGAAGTTGTTTTTTGTTTTGCTTTTGTTTGTTTGGTTTTGAATTCCACATAAAAATGAGATCATGCAGTTTTTTTCATTCTCTGACTATTTCACTTCACATAATGTCCTCAAGATCCATTCATATTGGTGCAAATGGCAGTTTTTCCTTCTTTTAATGGCTGAGAAATATCCCTTATATAAATGTATCACATTTTCTTCATTCATGTATTTGTTGAAGAAACAGGTTGATTTCCATGCTTGGCTGTTGCAGGTAATTCTGCAGTGAAAATGAGGTTGTGGGTACCTCTTTGAGATAGTGATTTCATCTCCTTTGGAGATATACCCGGAAATGGAACTGCTGGATCATATTAATTCTATTTTTAATTTTTTGAGGAACCTCTATACTGTTTTTCATGCTAGCAATACCAATTTATATTCTCACCAATAGTGCACAAGTTTCCTTTTGTCAGGTGTTGTTAACTCTTGTTATTTTTGATAATAGCCATTCTAACAGGGGTGAGATGCTATCTCATTGTGGTCTTCACTTGCATTTCCTTGATAAATTAGGAATCTTGAGTATCTTTTCCTGTGACTGTTGACCACTTGAATATTTTCTTTGGAGAAACGTCTAGTCATAGTCTTCGACCATCTTAATATTCAATTATTATTTATTGAGCTGTATGAGGATTTTTATATCTAGAATATTGACCCCTAATCAGATATTATGAATCCCTTATTATGGAAAAGGTCAGTTTTCATTCCAGTGCCAAAGAATGCAGGAGGAGAAGGGGACATCAGAGGATGAGATGGTTGGATGGCGCCACCGACTCAATGGACATGAGTTTGGGTAAACTCCGGGAGTTGGTGATGGACAGGGAGACTGGCATGCTGCAGTCCATGGGGTCGCAAAGAGTCTAACACAACTGAGGGACTAAATGGAACGGAATTATGAAATAATAATCACATATTATGAATCACTTGTTTTGAATCAGATATGTGGTTTGCAAATATTTTCTCCCATTCTGTTGTTTGCCTTTTCATCTCATTGATTGATTTCCTTTGCCGTGCAGAAGCTTTTTAGTTTGATGTAGTCCAGCTCATTTATTTTTGCTTCTGTATTTGTGCTTTGGGTGTCATATCCGAAAATAAAATCATTGCTAAGAACAATGTCAAGGAACTTTTCCCTTGTGTTTTCTTCTAGGAGTTTCTGGTTTTACATTTAATTTTAATTGTAATTTATATGGTTTCTGATTTTATATATGTCTTTAATTCATTTTCTATTAATTCTTCTCAGTGATATAATAAGTGCTTTTGCAAGTGAATATTCAATTTTCCCAGCACCATTTGTTGAATAGACTGTCTTTTCTGTATTGAGTATTCTTGGCTCTTTTGTCAAATGTTAGTTGACTGTATATTCATGAGTTTATTCCTAGACTCGCAATTCTTTTACATTAGCCTATATGCCTGTTTTTTCACTAGCACCTACTATTTTGATTACTGTAGCTTAGTAGTATAGTTTGAAATTAAGTATTGAGCTGTCTTTGGCTTTGCTCTTTTTAAAAATTTTTCTTTCATCAATGTATTTAACTTTTCATTCTGCAGATCTTTAGCCTTCTTGGTTAAATTTATTCCTAGTTATTTCATTGTTTTTGATGCTGTTGTAAATGGGAGCATGATTTAGTCTTGGTGGGCTGTGAAACATAGAAACCTCTATGTTTCTAGAAGATTTTATTTATTCTAGGTTGTCTAGTTGGTGTGTAGTTGTTGCCACAGTAGTATCTTATGCTCCTTTGTATTTCTGTGGAATCAACTGTATTATCTAACTTTTTCAAAGCATCTGTAAGATGGAGACAACACCACCCAATTTGAGAAGACAAATGGGATAATGTATGTACAATGTCTAGAAAAATGCCTGGTGCTCAGTCAGGGCTAAAAAAAGGAAGTTAGTCTTCCATAGTGTGAAAGTGAAAGTTGCTCAGTTGTGTCCGACTCTTTGCATCCCCATAGTCTATACAGTCCATGGACTTCTTCAGGCCAGAATACTGGAGTGGGTAGCCTTTCCCTTCTCCAGGGGATCTCCCCAATCCAGGGATCAAACCCAGATCTCCCGTATTGCAGGCAGATTCTTGACCAGCTGAGGCACAAAGGAAGCCCTAGTCTTCCAAGGAGAAGTTTTTAAAAAGCTTACTTTTTTTCCTTATTATGGAACACATGAAAGTTCAAAAGAGAAGACATGTAACAGTTGGGGGACCAGAACCTGTGTTCATATGAGAGACCACAGTTTGTGTGTGTGTGTATAAATGGCTTAGAAAGAAAGGGATGTTAGTTTTTTAAGAGTATGGAGTCAGTTTGACAGTTAAAAATCCTTACCAAAACAAATGTGTTTACTCGAGTTCCATGCAAAAATAATTATAAATTAAACATTACATTGTTGCCTCCTGATTTATATGATTTATATGTATTTTTAAATTATATATTAATAAAATGACACATTGGCCACTTGTAATTATTAGAATTTTAATTTTTCTCAGTTTGAAATTTTAAAGCATTTTCTTAGTGATAGTCTTTAAAAACCTTGCTGTTTATTATAGCAGTTGAATCTTTGAAGAGATGTTATTCTTTGTTTTGTTCAGTGTTGCTGAGACTTATATTTTTGGCAAAAGGATATTTTATTATGTGCAATGGTTTTTTTTAATATAATAAAATGTATTTAAACTATTTTTAAATTATAAGAGTAGAACCAACATTTTCATTATTAAAAGACAATTCTTTGTCATCACTTTATATATTTTGGGAGATAATTCTGTTTTTTAATTTTTTAAAACTAACATTGTCATTTGGTTTCTTTGACTAATATAATCCCAAAGAGCATTCATTGGACCTGTTTTAGTATTTCTTTCTGATTTCGAAGAGTTAAAGATATTACCTGAAGATTACTAAGAATGTATTTTCTTATGAGAATTCTATGTTGCTGATTTATTCTTTAGTTAATAGTTAAAACTTTTTCATTTATGAATAATGCAGTATATATAAGTGACACTAAAGTTTTAGTTTTATAATAGCCAAATAAATTCCATTGGTTTAAAAATTAGGAATTTTTTTTCTTTTGAGTGACCATTTTAAGCATTTATAAATTTTGTTCCATATTAATGTGTGCATTTGAAGTTAATATTATGTGGTTTGTACAACCATTCTTAAATAGTTGAAACTTAAAAGAATTACACATTGCAGATTTCTGTGCCTGGTGGAAATAAAATGTGAAGGTTGGTAGATACTCATTTTTCATATCTCTTATATAAACTGGCAAATGATACTAAAACAGCAGTTTGGTGTATATCTTGGATATTTCCCCCCGTGTTAAGTGTCTTTAAAAGTTTTAACTGTATTTATCACTATCATTTGAACAGGTGTCTCAATGCTTGTACCTACTGCAAAACTAAACACGCCAGAGGAAATTTGGCCAGTTATCCAATTGATGAATTAGTAGATAGAGCCAAGCAGTCTTTTCAAGGTAAGAGTTTCTAGAATTCTATGTGATTTCAGTCTCTTTAATAAATTTTAATAGTCTTCTAAGTAAAACTTGACTTTAGGTTATGCTTGTTTAGCTTTCTGAAGAGTTTACAAATGTTTCAGCTTATCTAATAGAAGATGTTGTCAGATTCAGGTTATGATATTTGCATAACTTTTCTTTCACCACTCTTCTGTTTTCTTATGACTCTAAGGTAGGTGACATACTTTGAAATTTATCACCTGTCTTTATATTTCATGGAAAAGACAAAAAAATAAAAATGAAAGCCATGACCTTCTGGTGTGTGTTAATTAGACTTTTGTGGACTGAGTGAAATATCTTTTAAAGATTTCTGTCTCTTTGGTAACTTCTGGGCCATTTAGAAAACAGAACTAATAACGATTATCAAGAGTCTTGGAAAGAGAAGGTGGATTTTACTTTGAGCAAGTAAAGATAACCCCTGCTCATCCATAGGACTGTTGGAGCTGGGAAGATTGGTAATGGTATAGAGTCCTAAAAAGAATAATTCTTTGTGTGGGTGGCCAGCTACTTCTGATTCATCACTTGCTGGAAAATGTCATTGCCTTGATATCTCTCAGCATACAGTAAGACATTTGCAACATGAATCACAATTGTGTTGACACATAACCGTACATTTCCTCTTTTGTCTTTGTTTATAGTATGTATATATAACATTGGTGTGTTTTTATAACCAACATGAGATAATCTATTGTCTCATAATCTTGTGGGTTAATACTTATTGACAATGTGCTTTTCCTTTTAGCAAGTAACTTAGAGTGCTACTTCCAGTACTTCACACCCCAAATCTCAGAAAGTATGTGTTACAAACACATGTATTTAGTCAAAAGCTTTTATCAACATGAATTTGAACTGTTCTTTAAAACAAAGAGAAAAATACTCTTGATTAATTCAACACTTCTGGACATTTTTTTTTTTTCTAACTTTATATCCTTAGCACAGTCCCATTTTCTGTTCACATTCAACTTGTATTGAAAGAAATAAATGGACACTCATCGACTCTTGTAGTTATCCTATTTCAGAACCCGCTGAATTGGCTAATCAGAGAAGTCTGAGTGGTTGTCTTTTCTGCAATATGGCTACTTTAAGGATTCTTTAGAAAGGGAATGAATTTGTACAGAAGCCTACTTTGTTTGAAAAATGATCCTTTGCTGGCATTCTTACTTGGTGTTTGTTTTTCCCTATATCTATTGAGTAACAGAGATATTAGAACTGTATGATCTATCCACTAACTCTGTGGTTAGAAGGCATACAAATTACAAGTGGGTTTACTGATTAAGATGAGTGACTCAAAGAATATATCAGAGGTTAACAGTGACTTAGTGGCTATTTCTAGAGAAAGTATTAAAAGAGATTTATTTAATATTACTTTTATCATCATCATTAGATACATATGTGCTTGGTTAGTCCCGTTTCCCACCCCCTACACCCCGCCAATGAAATGTGTGCAGTACAATGTTTTTCTATTGTCTTGTTGATTGAAGGCTAATATTTGAACTGATGGGCTCAATGGGTTGATACATGGAACTGTTACTAAAATACCAAGGTCTTAACTTTCTAGGTAAGCTGGTGTGTTTAGGGAATTTTAAGTTGTGAGTATCTGACGCTCTTTGCCATAGGATAGTCAGAATTCACAACGGTGCTCTGCTGGGTTCCAGCCACGTGATCTGACAAAGGTACTTGATGTATGCAAGTCATGGTTTTCTCATTACTGTGACATGTAGTGTTGCTTGTTGTTTGAATTTGAGATAACTTACATGAAGTTGTTGGTTGTGCCCTTATCATAAAGAAGGCATGTGACTTAAACTGGAGGAATTTAAAATAAATTGAAGAAGAGAAGTCTAATTTTTTTTTGAGAAGTCCAATTTTGAGTGAGAATATTGTAATATCTATAACATTAATGATTAGAACCATGAGACATTTTCTTTTACTTCTAAAATATGTTTTATGAAGAATGTCTTTTACAGATAGGAACTATTGAGTATGACAGTCACCTCTTGCTTTCTCAGTTTGACAAATGCAAAATCATGTTAAGGACGGCCTTATAATTTCCCAAGAGGAAATAGCAATCTATAAGCTCACATTTTAAAGACATTGAGTTAGCAGCATCGTCTTTTGTTCTGCAACAAGCCTTGGTATCATAATGGTTGTATAGACTTCCTATGAGTTTTTAAAATTGCTGTGAGTTTTTAAATTGAAAAGAATAATTATGAAGTTAAATGTAATAGTAGAAATAGCCCGTTTTTCTTCTTGTGTATCTTATTCTTTAATAATTAAGAAATTAGGAATATTTAGAGGATCAGAGCCCCTTAAATTCTACATTATTCCATTATTAAAATTTCCCATAATCAGTAATAAACATTATGGTTCTTTGAGAATTTAAGAAGAAAAGTCTAAATACGCTGTCACTAAATTTTAGTGTTTAAAGCTGTTATGTCAGTGCAAGTTAGATTTCCCAACTGAAAATGGCGTTCCTTTTCTTACTTTTTCTTAAATTTTTAAATGACTATGTGTCACGAATACAAAATGGTTTTTAGAAAATCTCTATACCAGTTGTAGAATAGAGATTACATCCCTGGTTGCCTGTCATGTGATAGACTATACAATAAGGTAACAGTTTCTTTCTGAATAGCATATTCATGGAACATTTTATATTCATAAACATTTATTTCTTAGACATCTAATGAGTGAAGAGACTAGTGCTAGCCCATAGGCAAGGGAACATTCAGAAGAGATTCTGAAATAATCATGAAATCATTCTGAATATAAAGTGGCTTCCTAAAGTACTAAAAATATACTGACTATACGTTCAGCTGCCAAGAATGGGAAAAGGAGCCCATTAACTTTTGAATGGATATCATTAAACAAACTTTATATTTTTTAATAGAAACTTTAGTTTACCTTTTATGAAACATATATATATAGTTTATATTTTGTTGGTTTCCTAGCTTTTTTTTTTTTTTACATTTTCATTGACTATTTTAACCTTCTCATGTGTTTTTCATTTTTGTTTCAGTTCTGCTTATGAGTGTGATATTTACCAGGTTAATTTCTGGGTATCATCTCTTTGTTCTAATAGACCATTGGGAAACCTCCCACCCTCACTTCACCTGTGCTGAGCTTTAGGTTTTAAAAATTCCTAGCCATGACAGTCTTTGGGGACTGGGGTTTGACGTGGTTGCATTTTAGATATCTAGAAAAACATGTCAAGCGATGACCAGGACTTTGTTGGGGCCAGAATGAATTTACACGCTAGTGTTTTCTAGGATATTTGTATTGATTTTTCTACAGCAGCTAATCAATCAGTTTCAGCTGTATAAGTGATGGAGCAAACCTTTTTAAGTGTGCTGGGTGAGTGGTGTGGAAACAGCACCTTTCTCTGCTGTCTCTGGAATCAAAATGTAGAGATGATGGATGGGCTGTTTTCATAGCTCTGGTGTGCTTTTCTAGATCTCATTTCTGTGTAGTTACTTTTTTTTTCTTCCTCCTCATAAATCTGAACAGCCCCCCACAAGATAAGTGGCATAAACCGGTTATGGAAAGGTGAATAAATTAAGATGAAATATTCAGAGCAAGGAGAAAATTTCTTGATGCTTAGTAATTTAGAGGTTTATGTTGGAATTTGATGAATTCAGTTTTATTTCAAGACTTGCAAAGATACCATCTAATGTGTATGAGATTAATTATGCAATGCAGCTGGAAAACATTACTTCCTGCCCTTTTGGATGGGAGAGAATATGAGCAACAATTGATTTTCTGGTGTATAAACTTGAAATTGTTGAGTTGTATGGTTTACATGAAGTCGCATTTGACTTATAACCTTTAGCAATTAATACTGTATATTGATTTTCATCTAAGATGAAAAAGAGACCAATAATTGCATCCTATTAATTTATATGGCAGTTGTTTAAATGTCTCTTTTATTCTTTTATCTTTTCATTTGTGCTGTGTTCAAACTGAGAAATCTATTTCTTCTGTAGGATTAATAACATTAATATATATATTTCTTATACATTGTCAACTTCCACAAAAGGATTTTAGGCAGCTTACTTTAAAGGATTATATGTAATAGACCATAAAAAAATAAAGGCTATATGAAATACTGTATTATGTTTCAAAAGAGGAAAGATAATTTTATCAACTCGTGAATCTTGGCTTTCCCAAAGAATAGAGGGTTAGGGTGATTTATATAATTTGATAATCAGTTTTTAATCAGAGAAATCCACATATCTCTAGACTGTAAATACTAAGAAGAGTTATTTGCTTACATCCTTTTCTAAGAGACATCGACAAATATAATAGAAATGCCTTTAGCCTGTAATGTATGGAGAAGGAAATGGCAACCCACTCCAGTATTCTTGCTTACGAATCTCTTGGACGGAAGAGCCTGTTGGGCTACAGTCCTTGGGGGTCACAGAGAGTCAGACACGACTGAGTGATTTAGCACGGTGATGTATAGAATTTCAAGATAGTCTCTCCATGGCCTTTTCTTCTGTTGACAGTTACAAAACCCCCCCAATATAACATTAAACTGTAACTTTTAAAATAAATTTTAATGGCAGAGCTACATAAATTTATGTAATATGTATAACTTGATAGGAGGATCTGATACCTAAATAGCTGTTTGTCAGATATTCGGTTTGAATAAGATGAGATTAATCACTTTGGTGTCAGAGAATGTTAGTAAAGGTTATCTACAGCAGACCGGAGTATAACTGACTTGGTTCTTGCCTCTTCAGACCTTTGAGTTTCTAAGTCAGTGGTGTTCAAAGTTTTCTTAGCAATAAAACAACTCTTTTTTCAAATGAAATTTGAAAAGTAAAAGCTGAATTGCCAGGATTGAAGGTAAGAGGTGGGGTCCTGTTTAATATGAGTCCTTTGCTGCTGAGGCCTTTCTTTCCTCAGAACGTTTAGGATTCAGCCTGAACTGGCTGGTATTGATTAATGTTTCTCTGCTCTATTCC